TTACAAATATAAATTTAAACATAAGATTTTAAAAATTACCCGAACATTGATGACCTAAAACTAACACAAAATTACTAACAAAAAATTCGCTTGATGAGGTTCTGTATTGATACGAAATTTTATCTGTATCGTATGATGTGTTAGATCTGCATGTAAAAGAATATTTAGTAAATAAAACATAAACATATAATCGTTGAGTATCCCAAATTAATACAATGTAAGTAATAATTAAAAATACTAGTTTAAACATAGGATTTTAAAAATTAAGCTAAAAATTACCCGGCCATTGATGACCAAAAATTAACACAAAATTACTAACACAAAATTTGCTTGATGGGGTTATTTATTGATACAAAATTTTGTTTGTGTCGTATGATGTGTCAATTTATAATGGTAGGTATCACAAATTTTAATTTAATTATAATTAACGAACAATTTGTATTTCTTATCATAAATACTATCAAAATTTATCTTATAATGATAGGTATCAAGCTTTATTATAAGCGTTTATCATTTAAATATTTTTTAGTATATTGTTTTTTGAATTTATGATACTCGTAGTATTGAATTAATAAATTTATCTTTTCCTATATTTTTACTTTATTTTTTTCATTAAAATAATTTAATTCGTGAATTATAATCTACGTGGCATTAAAATTTTAGATATATCAAATCTAATTCGTTACTTTTATCTAGGTGGCGACATAATTTTTTAATTCAAAAATAAAATACAAATCTTTCTTCTTATTGGTCGAAATAAGTATATTTCTTACGTGGCGCTCCGAATGCTCTCCAAAAATGCCTACTTTATTTATTTATTTATATATATATATATATATATATATATATATATATATATATTAGATTGTTGTATAAATCTAATTTGAACTCAATCAAAACTTAATTGTACTTACCTTGATTTGATAGAATTGATCTAAATTTTTTAGGGTTTACCCTAAATTTATTGAACTTATTTAAACTTAATTATTTTAATTATAAATTAATGAACTTGATTGGATAGCTCTTATTAACACTAATTAGAACTAATATAGGCATATGAACTTTTATTTGACTTATTTTTCCTATAATAACTAAATAAGTGGAAATTAGGTGAACTGATCAAGGCATGACATTCTTTTAAAAATTTGGCACACGATCCGGTCTAGTGGAAATTTAACAAATCAACCTCGATGGAATGGACTTGGCCGGGATGTATTCATTAACTTCAAACAAACAATATTCAGCAAAAATATTAATTTAATCGGTTAAATTCAATTTCATTCGTCAAAGATAAATCTTGATTAATTTTAATCAACAAACATATTTTCAGTTCAGCAATGACGAAAACATGGCAGAATAAACACTGATGAATTGAAGAACCACAGGTATGACTGAGTAATACATCAACTTTTCAACATGGAAAAAAGTTCGTAAGAAGCCATCTTGTCGATCAAATGATGAATGGGAACACGAAAAGCAAAACAAGAGAAAAGAAAAAGGGTTGTTGCTTAGAAATTACTACGTATAATACAATTCAAACATAGATCGCCAATAACAAAAGCAACAAAGTGTATTATTAATACAGCTAATTTAATTAGACGTACCTTGTTAGTTTATGAGAAAATGACAGCTTTAACGAATAAAAGAAAAAGGATGACTGTCTTTAAAGTTTTGCAAAATTATGATGAATTTGCGTGGACTTGACTTTGTTACACCATAAATGTAACCTTTAACATCACATATATCACGTGCCTTGACTTTTCTTAGTGTTAATTTTACACCTTACAAAAATTAGGTAGAACTACGTCTAGGACGGGAGCAACGTCTAGGACGGGAGCAACAGGCCAACAGTTAGTGAAGAAATAAATATAAGCATATAATATACTTGTACAAGTATATAATAAGGTCATATACTACTTAAAATAATTGTAGACTTAAAGCAAGGTACTTAGAATAAGTTAACTTAAGCTTTATAAGGTACTCCGTAGTAAACTTGAGCTATTACGCATGCAAGTTTTTCTCTCTAATTAGGGCGTATTCAGCAAAATATAGTTGAAGGTATAAATGTCCTTATACCTTGTAACATGTATGTCTATACAAATGTACAATGCTAGTTTCTTCTCGACTTTTGTCATGTTTATTCATACTTAACATGACAAAAGTCGAGAAGAAACTATCATTGTACATTTGTACAGACATACATGTTACAAGTTATAGGGACATCTATACCTTTATTGCAAATGATAGGAAAGGAGGTAGTATGAGAAATCATCAATAACTATATTCTAAAAGCGAAACCAGGAATGACACATGTCATTTCCTGGTTAAAAATTATCCCGCCCATTTTACTTTCTGTTTTTATGCAAATCCTTTAAGGAAATTATTTTATAATAATCCAAAATATCTTTCTTCCAATTAAAATTCTTAATAATAATAATTCACCATATAAACCCAACTAATATATTTTTACTTATACGTAGTATTTTACATTAAGTTCTTATTTGTTTATTTTGTAAAAAATGAACTTATATTAGGTAATTATTATTAAACAATACTGCTCTATATTATCTTAGTTTTCGATAATACTATTAACTTTTTTTTCTTCCAATTTTGTTACTTTTGCAATAATGTTTAATTCAATTAAAAATAAAATCATTTTGTTAACACACATATATATACACTTTTTTTCCTACTCTTAAAAGTCGTATCAATAATAAAGCAGCACGCGCAAGTACTATTCTTAGAATTTTATTTTTTAAAATAAAACCTCATAGACCTTTTTTTTTTTTTTTTTTTAAAAAAAAAAAAATCAAGTCTAAGTGTCACTAATCTTGACATTGGTATAACTAGGTATAAAATTAAATTATATTATTTATTTTTGAATTTGTATTATGAGTATAATTTTTATAAAATTCATTACAATAACTCTTCATAAAATTTAATACTCTCTCTGTTTCATAATGTTAGTCTCATATACTATTTTGGGCGTTTCAAAAAGATCTATCCACATCGAATATGTTCCATTTTTAACTTAATTTTTTTTGGAATTAATTGTTTGTGGATTGATGACATGACTCTAAGTAAGGAAATCTCTATCTTGAATTATGCAATTATGACTTATGCTTTCCCAAAAAAAAAATCAAAAAAATTTAAATAAGGTAAATTAATTATAAATTATTTTGTGCTTTATTGTTAGATTCCAAATATTCTTTTTTTCTTATCTTATGTGATTGATTTCATATGGGACTAATATTATGAAACGGAGGGAGTAACAACTAACCGTGCATTGCACGGGACTTAAACTAGTTTTGTAATATAATAGAATTTAATCCCAAAACAATGTAGGTTGCCATATTATTAGTTTAGTATATTGTTGATGTTCGATTATAGAATTAAATTTCTAATGTGAAAGATACTACAGTATTAATTATTAATATTCACTTGAAAATTAACAATTTGTCCAAGAATACATGGGTAAACGAATTATGATATGAGGCAATATACTACTAATCTCTAAGTTAAAATGAAGATTGAAGACATCAATTGAACAAGTGTAGGTTGAAATTGGAAGGAAAAAACAAAATATAACAACTAAAGCACTTTCTACAAGTTTCATGGAAGGTTCAACCTCGTCTTTGATTATTCGAACATGGCTAATTCAAGTGGGGAAAATCTGGGATTTATGGATATTTGGGTAAAGGATGAATAGAATTGTTTTTTCATACGTTTTAGTCAATTAGTTTTACTCATGCTATAATTAGCGACCATATAGAAAATACTACTTATGCACAAATCTTACCAAATTAGTTTTAGTCTAGTGGTATGGTATAAAGAAGAATTTGTTTTTATAGGTCACGAGTTGTAAATCTTTCATTTATGAACACTTTGAGAAGAGATATAATTTTGTTACCCTTCCTTCACTTTTACGCATCTGGACTTTAGGCACCCTAAACAATAGACTCCTTCAAACCCAAACTAGTTTTACTACTTACACTATCGACTATATCATGAGAAAGAAAAACTTGTACAAAACATTACGTCCTATAGTAAACTTATTGATAAAAATAATGAGCAACTAAAATAAAATAAAAGTCAATAGAAGAGTAAGGAGGCATTGTACATTTTTCATATGACACTTGGAGTTGGGTGTCAAGATTCAAGTACTCATTTTAAAGTTACACTAGAAAATCGATTAAGAAAAGATTCAAAAGAAAGGGACAGCAAATAAAATTGTGGCCTCAAAACTCAAATGTTAATAGAAAGAATAATCAACTTTATGAACAAGTACTGCATTTATTTTCAACAGCAAATCACGATTCACTAGATTCCCATTTATGGGACTCACAACAAGTCAACAAAGTCAATACACATTTTCTCCAACAAAGTCAACTCATACAATACCAATTCAAGTTCGAGATCAGGATGATACATTCCCATCTTCTACGGAGTAGTTTATATTAGTAGCTTAGCCAGCTAAACCAGAATTAACTTTATTTATTTATTTATTTATTTTTTTCAGCACAGATAGAGCATAAACAAGTCATATACACGAAATTTGATCTCATGTTTTAATTGCCTTCCCAAAATTACTATTAGCTAATTAATATAATTGGCATCCATAAACAATGTTCAAACGTTTTATTTATCATTTACGTATCGCCCACATAGAACCAACCACATTACATTCGTTCAGCAGGATAAATTTCTAGAAAGCCTGTGTCAAAAACAAAAAAAACAAAAAAAAACAAAAAAAAAAAAAAATTCTAGAAAGCCATGCTTCCTTGTCCAAGCATTAGCAACATTTATGCTTTATTACTGTGTATTGGTTTCAGTTTTAAAGGTATGTTTGTTAAAACATTAACCAAATATAAGCTCCTGTACAGAAACAAAATGAAAAGACATGAACTAAAAGAGACCAAGGGACAACTCTCAGTACACAAGAAAGAAATTATGGGCAATCAATGTCTACCTACAAACAGCAACAGACACACGGCATAAAGTTTAACAAGTATTCGTAGTAGTAGTAGTAGCAGCAGCATAAGCTGGAAAAAATGGTGTTGGTGTGTTCATAGAATTGTTACAAATCGTGCATCAGATACACCATTAAACAGCTATAGCAAATCTCATTTCCCTAAGAAATGCACTACAGTCACCACCGATAGGATAGCCTGTGAGTTCAGAAATACATCGGAGCAAGCCCAATTAGTCAGCAAAAAACCAGTAACTTGGGATAGTGCGAAATAAACAAGTGTACGAGTATTACATTAAGCTCCTACAACAATTTGAAGTATCTAGCTACCTTCTACATCACCGGATGACCCAAAACTTTCTAACCGGAGAACATATATGGAATAGATATCAGTATAACAGCAATCACTTTGTGTTTTAACTAGGGTATATGATACACACCGAAGGTGCTGTCCATCATATTGGCATCCACTGATCCACCCAATGGAAAAACGAGTATCGGGCCTCTCATATTGTCTGTAAATTGTATATCCTTTCTCCAAGATAATCAAACTTCATCCAGTGCTTCAACCAACCGATGAACGTTGATCCAAATTTGAGGGCGAGTTGACTTGTGAGGTACGATGATTTAGGCAAAAAAATCTTACTCGTATTTTACTTGTTCCTCTACCATCTTCTGCCAACAGGAATAGTATTTGATCCAGATATCTGTGACCTGTTACCAAAACCTCCACGACCCCTTGAGCGGAAATTTCCACCTGAAACATGATTTATCACCAGCCATACATTAGCTACATAATGCTTTGCTAGCTTGTTTATCTTCAAAGGTGAATGGACAGCCATATCCTTCACAGTAATGATTCTTTGGATTACTTTTTTTTTTTTTTGAGGAAATTCTTTGGATTTTAGTTAGGCTTATCATTAATAGTAATGTAAGGGAGATAAACTTTAACTAACTAAATTTAGTAAGTAGCTTAATATGGTCTGCTATACATTTATTCTGTTTGTACTTCATATTAACTTTCCTTCCAGCCACCTCCATTAAAAAGTCACAAATTAGAACATGCAACCAGGGTAGTTTTAGCATTTTTCAAGCACATACATTTTGAATTAAAGCACTTAACATTATTATAGAAGCACATTGATAATAAATAAAACCACATAGATATAATAATCGAAAACAAATAATAACATAAAATACATAAACATCATTATAAAAGCACACATAACATTTAAAACACATTATTGTATAATAAAAGCACAATATAAAATGATATAAGTAAAATACATTGTTGTTTTACCCGGTTTGCATGTAGATCTACATACGACCCAGGTGTAGCTTCTACCAATTGTCAAAACGTATGTAATTCTTCCACGACACTTCCTTTCTTTCCTTAATTCCATTATGATACCAAACTCAAGGAAGTTATTTATTTACTAGGTTCCCTTTCTTTTCTGCCCACTTCCTACCAAATAAGCTAAAGCTTTATGAATACTTATTCTATCCAGTTTCAAATTACTGTATCATTTTTCACATACTTGAAAGGAGAGGCGTATAGCTTAGTGAAGGCCACCTCAAAATATTAGATGAAGATAGAAAGAAATGAAATTACCCCCAAAGTTGGAGCCACCTGAGTGGGCCATTGCAGACAAAGCTGGAGGGACAGCCTGCCCTGCTTCTCTCAAGATCTTCATGAGTTCCCTGGTAAACTTGGCATTTGATTGAGTGAAAAATGTGTAGGCCATTCCCTTGGCCCCCGCACGACCAGTTCTCCCTATCCTGTGAATGTAATCTTCAAGACTTGTTGGAAAATCATAATTTATCACACATTTTATGTCCTTCACATCTACAAGCAAGGCAAAGAAAGAGCAAATGTCAGATTAAAATATTATGAGAAGGCTAGAAAAATGCCCCTTATCCCTGCACCTACGTGATCTCATGGATCAAATTTAATGACAACACATTCATCATGAAAATGTGCCCACCTTTACCTAACAGGGATAAGGAGCAGCAGCATCAATGATTCAACACTCTCCTCAACTGAATAAACTTGTCACATAGTACCCGGCTGCCATGACAACCAGCTCTGTAACCGTGGATGGGCGGCAATGTCTACAACTAAGCTACTTAGACACTTGGTGAAAGGACCAAAGCCAACTCAGACAAATCTATAGAATAATAACTCGCTAATGTTGGCCTCCTATATAACTCGATTCCAAATTTGAAATACATACTAAAAATATTGGTCTGAATCCAAGAGACCAAGACGCATCCGATAATTAACTGGAGACCAACATCACCAACCAAGGGATTCTATTGAGACTGAAGTCTGACAACGCCTGCCTTTGGAAGCAAAAAAACTGCACTGCATGTCAAATGGCATAAGAGCAACCAAGAATCAGATAACAAGCCCTTGCAAGTAGCAGCATTGCAATCTTACCTCCCACCCAAACCACATATATTTGACAGGAACTGGATAGCAGCCGGCTAACAAGCCTAAATTTTCAAAACGATAGCTAGAACCTAGAAGAAGGAAACAATCAAGACTCCTAGCACTCAATCATCCTACCAAGACCACGTGCAGCAACATCAGTAGCAGTCATTACAGGACTTCTGCCACTTTTAAACTCTGACAGTACCCAATCCCTTTCAGACTGGTCTTTATCACCATGGATGGCCAAAGCAGGCCACCCATCCATTCTCAACTGTCTTGTGACCTGGTCACATCCTTTTTTTGTTTCCACAAATATAAGGATTTTGCTCCCATCCATTATTTCCTTGAGCAGTGCAATTAACCTGAAATTAAATGTCTGGAGTCAGGGGGGAAAAAGCAGAAAAACCCATAGGATATTAAGTTGATAGGGTTATTTGCAAAAAGCTATTGAACCTGTTGTACTTCTCTAAATCAGTCATGACTTCAATAACTTGTCGGATAGAATGATTAGCCTTCAGATCTTGAGATCCAATAACGACCTGACCACAGTATGAACGAAATGATACACAAAAACATATATCCAGAAACTTACACGCTCAGAGATAATTTAATACGTAGTATTATTTTACAAAATGGGATGTAATTTAAAAACAGACCTTGTAAGCATTACGTAGAAATTGCCTTGCCAGGGTTTCTACCTCCCGCGGCCATGTAGCGCTCCAATATAAAGTCTGTCTATCAGGCCGGATCTACATGTTGCAAAAGCATATAATATTAAGCACCTTACAGCTTGAAACAATAATTATTGCAAGTATGAAACTCTTCCGTAAACTCTTAAAGACCAAGCAACTTCAAGGAATACCCAGCAATTGCAGCATAAACAGCAGCATTACAGCTTAAAAAACCTAAGAAAATCTGGTAATAATAGATTATAAAAATACTAAGCATGAATTTTGCAATAAAACTGTAACAGAGAGCTCACACAGTAACGAAATATTAGAACTTCCACAGAGTGTTATAAAAGTTCTTTGCTTTGAGGCAAACTAAACAGCAGCCTAATCTACTTGTCACGTAATAACTAATAAGTGTAGCATGCTAATGGACAGCATACTCGTGATCAGAAGAAACCATTCAACCAAAATCAAAGACAATGACTTTAAGTATGATGACGAAAATGATCTGAAGGAACCAGATTGGTTCAACATTTGCCGTGTCTGAAGGATGAAATATATATGCCTTGCTACCAGTCAATATCAAGTGTTGCAAGAAAATTGGGGCAGAGAAGCTGGTGAATCCCATTACCTCCCACCCCCCCCCCCAAAAAAAAAAAAAAAAAAAAAAAAAAAAACCAAAGTGGCGGGGATTTGCTTCTCATGGTGCACCTAGCTGGGGATTTGGGGGAGGACCTTGGTGAGCTAACTGAAATAGGCCAGGTCAGGCCCAGCCTGGCCCATGATGTACCTTTCCATGCTAAGGGGTGAGCCTATACTCATGTCAAAGTGTCTGAGTATCAGACACCAGTAAGTGATGTGAAAGGAAGTAACCAGACATATAGGCAGTAGCACTGTACAAAAAGCAAAAGAATGCATAACAGAAAGTCTAATTCAGACAGCTTTTACTAAACAGATTTTGCCATTCAAAAAGGTTTTTCTTTACAAAATGACACAGCATAGCTACTGAAAAAGCAGTGTGACAATATTAAAAGATAATCCCTAGTATTACAACATTGGACAGCAGCACTCACAGGAGGCCAGTAATGGCAGACTAAAAAAGTTTATAAACTAACATACCTGGGAGACAATATTCCTGATCTGAGGTTCAAACCCCATATCTAACATACGATCAGCCTCATCCAACACCAAATATGTAACTCTTTTCAAGTTGGTGTGTTGAGCTTCCAGCATATCTATCAATCGACCAGGTGTAGCAATCACGATCTCAACACCTGACAAAAATGCAATCATATGCATCAACTTTTTGCATCACACTGTTTACTGAAGGGGATTCAAAATGTGACAACAAATATTCTATCAGAAGAGAAGTCTACCTCTTTTAAGATCTCGGATTTGTGGTCCTTTGGGAGCCCCTCCATAAATGCAAGTACTCCTAACATTAGCACGAGACCCAAATTTCAGAGCTTCCTCTTGTATTTGCACAGCCAATTCTCGAGTGGGAGCTAATACTAGTACAATTGGACCATCACCATATTCTGGAGAATGCTAAACAAATCAGTGAATCTAAAGCAAGCACAGATAACCTATCTTAGAGCCTGTATAGACAATATATACTGACCCAGTTTCGGCTGAGCAGTAACGTGAACAAGAGCAGGCAGCAAATAAGCCAAAGTCTTCCCAGAGCCAGTCTCAGCAATGCCAATCAAGTCTCTACCTTTCAAAGCCATAGGCCATCCTTGAGACTGAATCGGTGTAGGCTCGGTAAATCCCAATTTCGCAATGACATCAAGACAATAACCTACACAGCACACATTTGTGAATAACCCATCAATGACCACAACACAAACAAGAATTACATATTGTTCACAACATAGACAGGATTTTTACCAGGGAATCCAGCTTCAGGAAACCACCGAATAGGCCTAGGAACATCGGACCCTTCCACAGTAATATCACGCTTAGCTCGATACACCATCACCTCTTGCTCAGACATAGCTCTCACTGATGGACTCTCAATATAGAAATCCTTCTTAAACGGAACCATATTTCTAAACTCTTGTTTTGGAAGTGAAAGGAAATCCAAACTATCAGTACCTCGGCCTCTCCCCCCGCCTCGCCCACCACCAAACCCTCCTCCCCTACCCCCACTACTAAACCCTCTCCCGCCACCTCGATTCCCATCGAAACTTCTCCCTCCTCCACCTCCACCTCCACCTCCTCCTCTACCGCCACCTCTTCGTGAATCAAACCCTCTATCACCACCATTAGAATGATGATAATCACTTCTCCTCCCCCCTAAATCACTACTCCTACTCCCCCCACCAACACTACCTCTACCTCTAGGAGCTGGTCCTCTACTATCACGACCAACATCGAAGTTCCGGCTAGCCGGAGGCTCAAAAGGGGGGTACCCGGATCCCGGCAGATGGGGTCCACTAGAACCACCATAAGGTGGTACGTAGGGAGCTGAGCCGCTAGACCCAGAACCCACGTAAGGTGGTGGTGCATAGGGTGGTGGGGCCCCGCCCACCGGGCCACCCACATGGGCCGGCGGAGGCCCAATAAAATCACTGCATTCAATTTCAATTCAGAAGAAAAAAGCATAAATTCCACAAAATTTCTCAAAAATCAAACAAACAATTACAGTACAAACCACAGAGATCTTGATATAATTGAACAAAACTAGGAGAGAGATTGAGAGTTACCTGCGGCGTTCGCGGTAAGATGATGGGTCGCTGTAGCGGTTGTCGTAGTGATTGTTGTAACTCATGTTTCTGGGAATAGAATTTGAATTAGGGTTTATGGGAATTGAAGATGAGAGAGAAAAATACAGAAATTGATTTGGTATTGGGTTTTTCGGGAATCAAGAGAAAAGGGGGGTGTTTAAATCTATATTACTTCGTACTATAGAACAAAGGAGAAAGTAGGAAGACGAAATAGATGCAGAAAATATAAAAAGAGAAGAGGTTGCAGATATTTTGCGAATTGCGGTTTAGTGTGCGTATCTTATGCAATATGGAAATGGCCCCAAAGAGTCGGTTAAGTTGGTCCGGGGTCGATTAAGGGCATGATCGAAACTATCTTTTGATTCGCGGTTGATATTTTTTTTATAATATTTATGCATGCATGACACAAACTTTAATCGTAAATAAAAACAAAGTTCTCGAGTTATATTGTGATAAGATTACTTTGTTTTACATCGGGTATCAATTCTTTACACACTTTGCTATCCATAATTTGATATTATAAGTTCCCATATCTATGAGTCTATCAAAAGACAATGAGAAAATGTGTTTTGTTGAATTAAATTATTTAAGAAGTCCGGCGGCACCAATGAATTTTTAAATTGTTACATAATTGAACAAAATGATTGGGTTGACAATTTGGAGTAGCCACTAAAAGTTGTTAATATAGAACAATTCAATATGGGTTATGAACGTACAACATTAAAGTATATAATATTAGATAACACATATTTTGTGGCCAAATGTATTTACAGAAATAAGGAACTCAGGGTTAGCGAACTTCAAACAAAACAAAGTAAAATAAAATTATATATATACACCTAATTGCACCTAATTGCACCGCTTATAAAAAGGTATAAAAATTATGGTCATAATTAAGATCCATAACAAGTAAAATATCACTCAATTCTACTGACTAGTGAGCGTTATTCATACTTGTGATACCAGAAACTTTTTAGCTGAACTTAACCGACAAACATGTACATTCCTTATGGCTCTCTTCATATTTATGTCGAGATACTTTGGTTTGTTTATCATTTGAGGCTACGAAGGAAGATGATATGTGATGTATCTTTCCTCGATTATCCACGTTCTTGTTTCCAATATAAATAAGGGAAACTTTACAATAATCTGGGGCGCTTTTTTGGATTAAAGCTCCTTTACTTGACCCTTTTATCAATCGTCTGTAAAATGTTCATTCACATTATAAGAAACTTATCAATGGTTCCATCAAATAATTGTAGTAATAAGGAAAGACAAATAAAAGGAAATAAGAGCTTCGGTGATTAATGTACCTTGCAAGGTTTTGATGCTTCGTGCCCATAAAAAGAGAAGTCATGTTGAGAAGTGGAATAAGATTCAAAATTGCCTTTGTTGTTTCACTTGACTCGATAAGTATGGTATCCACATCAACCTGAAATATTATGACGATTTATGACATTACAATGTGAAATTCTTATATTTATTTGTATATGTATTTTCCAGATAAGTAAAATACTACACTTGATTAAACTACAAGCATTACACATACCCGAGTTTACTTTACATGAGAGGCTAAATAGAACAATCAATACTCAATAAGATATTCAAAAAGTCATTCTCTCCTTTTTGTAACCCTATTTTAGCATTTAGCCCATAAAACCAAATACTACTAACATAATCATATAATAATTAATGTAAGTGAAACCATTTCTTTACGAATTTTAAGATGTAATGTTCGATCCGATTAATCTTTGTACAATATCTATTGCCTTAATTAGATTGCTAGCTATGATGATAACCCATAACCATTTGGGTTAATTAACTCCCCCCACCACATATTGCTATATAAATTATATTTATTTACCATTCAAAATCAAATGATTTATGCTTTCTTATCACTATTTTTTTTTTTTACATAAGAATTCTTCTCAAGTTGGTGGCAACATAATTAATAAAACGTAGGAAAATTATTTTGTAAAATGTACCTTGTTGTCAAGACAAAGGCGAATGTACTTGTTCAATAAATTCTTCCTCTTGTTGTGCTCTTCAGTTGCAAAAATCTTGGTTTGCTCGGGACTCAATTGACCAACCCACAACCTTCCAACTGAAAACGGCATCGTTTCACCAACTAGTTAGCTAGACGCAATTCAGCTGTTATTTTTGTCACAAATTGACATATTCCCACATCTTCTTCGATCATTCAACATGATATATCATTAGTTCATTATCCCTCTTCATTTTTACCTTTTCTTTTCCCTCTTTAATCTAAAAATGACAACAAAATTATTTTTAATCATCTAAAATTATCTTTAGAAATAATAAAAGCATTAGTTTTATGCAAAATCAACAAAGAAGATATGTAACACATCTATGTACCCTTTATTTTAACAAAAAAAACTCAAAATTCATGTCGCCACATCTAGTTGTTATGCAAACTTATCGTATACATAATAAAAGTATGATCCAACTATTTAAACACTCCTCCACATACACCACTCAAAGATAAGGACCAAAAAAAAATTTAGATCATCGGATGCACTAAAATGATGACCTATATATACGATATACTTCATTACTTTGTAAAGTAAGGCGAGTATCACATCCCCCAATTTTATGGTTACAAAATATGTTATAGTCTTCTTCTTTCTATTCAGTGCACAGAACGTCTAATATGTTACTAGCCTAATTAAACTAAACCAACAGGTCATGCAAGTCAATTACTCGTACTCATCATATATACTACATAAATATAAATAAAATTAGTTAGCTGATAATATAAAAAATTTAATTTATTTTTTTTGCAAGATAAAAAACTTAATTACCAGGGGTTGAAATAGGATGAGACACATGGATGAGGTTAACACGAGCTCCAGTCACAACAACATGAGCAAGAACCCATTTAAGTACATGTACATCATCTTTACCAACTGCAACATAAACATCTTCATTTTTATCATTTTCTTTGCTTCCACAATTTACTCCTTTTAACTCATCATCAGTTTCCTCTTCAATCTCTACAATCTCAGGCACGACCTTACTCTCCTTGTTACATGAAGGCTGGAATTCTAGTGTTTCAACTTCATCATAATATGCTTCTTTTTCCATTATATATATCTATATAGTTCTTTTTTGTTCCTAGGTATATTTCCACTAGAAATAATAAAAGAAAAATTCTTGTCTAGTTACTTGGTGGATTTGTAAATTTAATAAAGATGCAATAATTTATGATGATTGATGAATAAGGGAGAGGACGTGGTAGAGGAAAGTTGGGAAAGTTTAATGTGTTAGAGGCCACATATTGTTCCTAGGATGTAGACATGCATATTATAAGTCATGCGAGACATCAATTAGGAGAGAAATTCTCAAAAAAGGCATGTGCTTCAACTTCTATTTGCGTATAATTTGTCCATTGTATTAAAATAAGGTAGGTTTTAACTACTAGTTTGGAATATGTCTCATTTTTTAGTTCATAACTTCATGATTCATGTTTAGGATTATAATTATATGTATTACTCCCCTTTTTTTTTTTTTAATAATATGTATTACTCCCCTTTTTTTTTTTAATAATATGTATTACTCCCTCAGTTAGTCTAAATTTAATTTTAAACAGTCATTGTAGCTATAAAAATCAAGAAAAAAAGAGAAATGGGGACTATACATGTTACTATTTTTGTTTGAAAAAATAAGTAGATAGAGTAAGGGATCTATAATTAAATTAAATATTACTAAAATAATAACCATGGATGTCATCACTGTCCATGTGTCTCTCTCTTATTAAATTTTTTTCCGCCTAAATACAATGATGATTTATTTTTATTTTTTTCTTATTTGAGTTACCCTATTTAACATTGCATTGAAAATTATAAAGCTTCTACAATACGAATACCACTTATCATCTTATTCTAGGGAATTGAAACAATTTTGAGTGTCACAATAATAAATTACCTCCTACTCCCATTTTTCCCACTATTGTTTCATCTTCCCTTGGATAACAAAGATTTCCATTCTCTCGATCATCTCCTTAAATTTTACTTTGTACTTCAAACTTGCTCCATTTATTCAATTCTTAGCCTTTAAAAAAAAATAAAAAATAAAATAAAAATCATTTTCCACTTAATGTATAATTCATTTCGTATTTTAAATAATTGTGCATCGCACGGAACTAACCTAGTTTATTAATATAATTGGATAGAATTATTAATATAATTGGGTTCTACGAAGTGGAGTTATAGATGATGGGGACTATACAAGTCACTCCTTAATAGTCTTACTACTTACTCTGTAAATGAGGCCTGGCGCAGCTGTTTGCAAGGAGTAGATTACCGATTAATCATAACTTTGTCATTCTTTTCTAACTATTCGGTTACACTCTCATATTGGATAGTCCACCTTTTTCTTGCCTATTTAATTTGAGTATTCGGCACGATCAAATGAGAAAATTCAAGTTTATTTTCAAGGGGCAATTTATAATTAAATGGCATATTTTTTCATTGTTTATAGGTATTCATTAGCAGTTTTACCCTAAAATCGCTAACTAAAATTCACATTTTTATCCTAAAATATTACAGTTTTGCCTCTTGATTTTTTTCCAATAAGATAAACCAAGACTCCCTCCAATCAAAGTGTAAATACTTGTAATTTTTTTTTTTTTTTTTTCAAGGGAGGTGGAGTGAATTTGAACATATGGAAAAATGGAATGACTTTAAGACTATAGTATAGGATAGAAAGCAGCTTGTGTATCGTCCACATACTGTGGTAGATAACAAGTATACTGTCAGAATTGAATCTTTATGTGACCATCATTTTGATACATCAATAGTGGAGGGGGTGGTGGGGGTGGATAATGACTTCCATTTGCTAGTAAGAGGGCCAAGGTTTTTGTTCTAAGCAAACCTGTTGGATCGTGGCCAAGTACGAGTCATGACATATCCGTAGGTTTTATGTTGTGGCATCTTGAATTGTATCTTAGGGTGTGTTTATCTTTCAAATTAGGCTACTAATTGGTTGTTGGTGTAGTGGCGATTAGGACTACACTTGGTAGAGAGGACCGCGTGTTCGATCCCCCGCAACAACAATTGGGAGGGGACTAGAACCTAACCACCCAGTGTTGATCCCCGAATCCGGATTAGCCCAAATGGTGAACCGGGTGGAACACTAAAAAAAAAGGTTATGCTCTCCTCACCTTATTTAAGATGATCTAGTCTAAATTTTTTAAGTTTTGGTTTGGACAAATCTGAATTTTTCTGATTTGATCTGATATGTTAATTGTCTGATTTTAATAAACTTTGACCTTAATTGTACACCTAGGTGTCTTCTTCTTGAATCTTTGGAAGAGTGTTGTTTTATAGACTTTCTACTCTAGTAAATACTCTAGGAGAAAACGCGGCATATTAATACATAATCCCACAAGACTCACAAAGTCTTTGCACATCTAACACAGCAATAAACATACCCTTCCAATTTCAAACATTTTAGGTTGGGATTTATTACTAGGATTCCCCTACTTTCACGTTGAAGCGAGTTTGTAGAAAATGCTCGATAATTGTCCGGTTGTTCCCATTTGATTTTTGTTTTCAAATCTGATACCTTGACACTGAAGTATTTTTTTTTTTTTTGAAGTATTTTTTAGCACTATTTAACATGCATATTCATTTGACAATTGTGCTACGAATTATACTACTTATTATGAAAAAAATACTACGTATTACGATTGTTGACTACGTTAGACTGTTAGAGTGAATGAAGTAGAATTATAATGAGATCTATTTTGTTCTACGATATTGCTAGTTAGTATGGAGTAATTTAATACTATCTCTAAATGATTAAAAACGTTATTATTAGACTTGTCAATTCGTGACTCGACTCGATTCCAAACTCGAGTTACTGAGAGAAGACCCAAACTCGACCCGACCCAAATGAACGAAAATTGACCCAATTTGACCCATTTATCATATTTGTAATGACCTAAACGATCCAAACCCCTCTAACCAATCATCTCAAGTGACCTGAAATCTAACCTGAACCCAACCCGTTGACTCGAATCTGAGCCATTGACACGAATTGATAGATCTAATTATTATTAATGATTTATGCGTAATGTTAAAGTAATTGTTAAAGGGATATATAATGGCCTTATGAAGGTCTTGTTAATATGTCTCAATATGTTTTATATTTTTATAAATATATACTCTGTAATTAAAGATAGTAATTTCATTTCCGCAAAAATAATTCTTGTTCAGTAAAATTAATTTCAATTTAGTAAAAATAATTTAAATTCAGCAAAAATAACTCTAGTTCAGTAAAAATATTTTTGCTGAACTGAAATTAGTTTGTCTAAAAATATTTTCAATAAAGTTTTAAAAAAAAAAAATTCAATGAAAAACGCTATAATAAAGTAATTTTCTTTTATTTGTTTCTTTGCAATAAAATTAATGGTCTAATTGAGAAACATTTGTAAAAGGAAATGCCGAAACGGGGTCAGAAAGGTGAGAAAATTTAGCTTCCCTTCTGAAGAACTTTTTCTCATCTTTAGAAGAGTTATTTTTCACCGTAAGGAATGAGAGAAAACGGACGAATAGTTTTCTCATAAAGCATTTTACACCTAACCAGACACTATAATCCAAACTAATAGAGGTTCTTATTTTTTTTTGGTGTTGTTGTCTCCTCTTAAGCGGCTAATAATAATTGATAGAGTATAAAATATATTTCTGGGCCTTAACCATCAACTTAATCTTTTAGTTGAATTGGTCCGCTAATATAGTATCAGAGCTAACGTGACACAAAGGTCACAAGTTATGCGGAGGGCCCATGCTGCATCCACACTTCAAGCTCAACGGACACTCGTGTGAGGGGGCGTGATAGAATATAAAACATATTTCTATACCTCAACCATCAGCTTAAACTTTTGGTTGAGTTGGTCCATGAACAACAATAATAATAATATAGTGCTTACTTTAGTTGAGTCCAAATCATTTAAAAAACACAGGGCCTTACTCTTTAAAAATATCATATTTTCATATATTTATGTGCTATAATATGATTGCATATAAGCATGCAAAGCAATTCACTAATTCTAGAATGAGCAATGACCCATCACCAGTCACAACTTTAAAATTGGTCCACCACAACTTAAGCCAGAACTTTATAATACTATTAGTACTATAGATAGCTATACGCAGATATTATTGCTATGATCCAAATATCCAAGCTTACGATTAATTATTTAATTATGCCTATCTTTAATTAATTATTTATCAAGTGACTGTTAATAGAAATATCTGACCGAAAGCAACGACCTTGTATGCCCAAAGCAAAACAGCACTTCCAAGAAGAAGATGTGACATTTTATACAATGTCATCACTACTTATCTCATGTAGTCAACAGTTGATCAGTGGTCCGAAAACATAAAAAGATGAGATTATAGAGAGAGAAAAAAAATGTTTATGAAGATCTCATAATTAATCTCAGGATCAATAAGAAAGTCCAATATTATATGTATGTGGTTATGTGGGATCATGTTAGATAGGATGATTGGATAATCGCAACAAAGCTTTGCCAACTCAACTATTTATGTCGGATCCAATTTTACATCAAAGAGGAGATAATCAACAAGGTATTTATTTCATTTGCTTACTAATACAATTATTTTACAAGATAGACAGATAGTGGGTGTGTAAATTTGCTAAGTCCACTTTCAGAAGCTAGCAATGTGCACACGTATTGCATCACTCTTTCTAATGTCTATTTGTTAATTTTTTTCAGGATTTTATTTAAACCAATCTTTTAATCAAGATTATGTGTGGTTTAACTTCAAAAAAGTTGGAAGAAAAAATGGCCAAAATTATGCTCTTAAACCTACTAAGAACACTGTTGATTCTGATATTTGCTGTGTGGACTATTCTTTGGTTTCTCAAACCCACCAAAATTTGGACCAAGAATTGGAAAAAGGTTGAAGATAGTATGCAGACAACAATTTTCAAATATAATGGTATGAAATTTTAGTACTTGTATATTATATATGGAGTATACACCGGAAATATCTTTCTTGGTTCATGTAGCTGACCCCATCTTTTCGAGGTTAAAGCTTCGGCATTATTGTTGTTGCCACTGCTGTTAAGCATAATGTATCTGAATTTTGATGCAGGTGTTTATTTTGTGGTATATACTTTTCTCATTATATTACTAGCTATGATTGGATTAATATACATGTATATGCAACCAATGAGGTCAATAAAAAGGTAATTATCAACTAAAATTATGCTTTGCTGAAACTTATGGGCTGATAGTTATTAACTAATTACACTTGGGTTTTGACTGCAGAGGAGTAAGGAGATGCTTAGCAGCTCTACATAATCCAATCATAGTAAAA